ATTGTTGCTAAATAATAGTTATTTAGGAGAGATGGGTGCATGCAAGTGGTTCTCCATTGCATTCCCTCAGCCAGAAAACAGTAATTTGGAGTGTTGCCAGAAGAACTTTTCAATTGTTGTACAAACTTTATTTGGAGTAGAGTTAACAAAGCTGTGAAGGTTACAGTATTTGCTTCATTATTAAAATGAATGCTGGTCTTACTTACACAGTCAGAAGGTGTATTTAATATTAAAAAAAGAACCCCGCTCCTCTTTTGCTGATGCCAGCTTTATGGGAGGCAAGAACAAGTTATAAATAAGCAGCTTCTTTATTGCTAGAGGCTGATATTAAAATCAGCTGGTACTACAGTGTTCAAGCCATTTTCTAAATACTTTTGTGATTTCAGAAGTTTTGACATTGAAGTTTTTCATGTGGTGGTTTTGCTACACTTACTTTGTTTTTAATTTAATAAATTTACTAATATATTTACTTTAAATCAGTTCTGTTGCACAATTTATGTTCAATAGTGTAGCAATATAATCAGGAAAGATCTATTTTGAATTAAAAACTTATTCTTCTCTACTGGCTATTTTTGATTATTTCAACTTTGCTTTTCCAAAGGAAAAAAAAAATCATGCAAGTTCTAGTTTGCAGGCTTTTGAAACCATTCTTTGCGGATAACGTGATTTCTTGAGACATGGATCACAAAGTAGAGCGGTAGGAGGGTTTGGCTTTTGGAATTTGAAAGAAATTTGTTCTACTCTTGACAATAAAAATAAATAGGCAAAAGATCTTAAAAAAACATCGAAGTTCTGATAATCTGTTACGTACCACAGCTGCCTCTTGTTGGGACGAGCCCTTTGTGTGTGACCCCCGCTGGGCTCTGTGTACTTGGCTTCGGTGACTGAGGATGCTCCAAGTGTTCTACAGCCAGTGGGACACAGAGACCAGGAGCTGCCACGGCTGTCCTTTCCTGAACCTGCTGCATGCTGTCTTTGAGATTTCAGTCTGTCCCTAACCACAATTATTTTTTTTTTTGCCCGCGTAGTTAGAAGCCCTGGTTAGTTTTGCATCGCTCTGAGATGCAAAGTTTCGTCTTCCATGTGTAGCACTACTGAATAAGTTTGAAATAGATTTTTTGCTTTTTAATCTCTTGTTTGGTTGCTACCCTGTGTTGTGACTTTTTGGGCAAATTGCATTCCCTCTGTGTCAAATTTCCTAGTCCAATAGTTGCTTTTAAAGCTTCCAAGGTGAAGAAGTAAGTGTTGTGTAAACACAGGGGTGGCTGTGCTGTCTTACAGCTGCTTGTTCTGTGTGTGACAAACTCGGGCAGTGGAATGAATGCTGTCTGAGTGATTCCTCTTACCATTTTGTTTTACTTTTTCTGCAGCTTCCACCCGTTTTGTGAAGTGTGAAAAGTGTCACCATTTTTTTGTTGTACTGTCAGAGGCAGACACGAAAAAGAGCATCATTAAAGAGCCTGAGTCAGCAGCAGAAGCTGTGAAATTGGCATTCCAGCAGAAACCACCGCCTCCACCGAAAAAGGTATGGTACTTCATTTCACCTCAGTGTTTCCATTTCAGCGTGGTGAAATGCTTTACTACTTAATATGCATCAGGTGTGTAACGGTCTGCTGTGACAGAGCAACAAACAAGAAAGACGATTAGCTCAAGATTAATCCTTTGAGAGCTATGTGACCTGGCGGAGCACTAATAAAGGGAATAAGTAGATCCAAGAAAAGTAGTTGGGCTTGTTTTCCTCTGGTGTTGTCCAGGGACTGAAGACCTGTACCTTCATTTTCTCTTTGTGATGCTGAGACTAATCTCAACTCTCACCAGCTGTAGTATTTTTTATTTTTTGCTGTGGCCTCGTATTCTGCAGCCTGGTGTTAAGCAGCTTCTTTCTGTAGTTGCTGAACCTTTTATTTGGCCTCTTTCTGGGCGAGAACTGTGGCTGATTAGCTTTTGGTGGTGACCCATCCTAAATTTTTTTCTTCTCCCAATTAGTGAGGGAGCTTATTGTGTTTCTCAGTTCCTAGTGGACTGCAGTGATTTCTAAAGCTGCACGTGGCTCCTGGATAGACCCCTTGTAAGACATTAAATATTCTTGAAATTTCAGTTCCTCTTACAAATCTGTGTGAAAATGGCAATGGGTTTAAATATTAGTAAGGGAGAACTGACAGACACAGTATGATTGTGGAAGTGCCATGTTTTTAAGTAAACTTATCAACAGGAATATATCTTTTATTTTAGATGTTGGATTTCTGTTTCTCAGTTCTGTAGTGGTTGGTTTAGACCAAAGTCTCATCTTTGGCACGATATACTATTTTTTTCTTGCTGCAAAGAGGTTTAGAAGTGTTACTAAGATTGAGTTATTTTCCAGATTTATAACTACCTCGACAAATACGTTGTTGGTCAGTGTTTTGCCAAGAAGGTGCTTTCGGTTGCTGTGTACAATCATTACAAGAGAATCTATAATAATATCCCAGCTAACCTGAGACAGCAAGCAGAAGTTGAAAAGCAGACTTCTTTAACGCCAAGAGGTTTGTAAGATGTTTAGTATTTTTCTGGTCGAATAAACCTTACCATTTCAGGGCCCTAACTTAAGAACCTGAGGTTTTTTTCACCTTGACACTAGGTAATTGAAATGATTTGAAAGACTTTCTGTTAAATTTAGTTTTCATTGTATGTGAACTTCTGTGATTTATTTAAATAGTAATCCAGAAGGTTTATGGTGCTGTGGGTACTGCCTGCTGTGTTAAATGTTTAGCATTTGTTTTACTGGCACTTATTATTAGGTATTTTCCTTTAACTTTATAAAGTGAGCCTCCTGAATTTTTCTTTCTAATCTCATTTACTGCTTAACAGTAAATCTGCTGCTTAATCTTGCAAGCGACAATGAAGATCACGAAGACAATATTTTTCATCTGTAACTTGATGAATAGCCAGCTTTCTAACCTCCCCTGCTGCTGTTGGCAGCATCTGTTGGTCACCATGGTATTGTTCCATATCTAGCAGGTGTAGATGGACTTACTCTTGGCAGTACTTTTGCTACTGAGTAAGTGTGTAGCTATGTTGATCTAATTTATTTTTAGAAATAGGATTAAGTTACTGACTCTGATTCAAAGTGTACCTATATTTTTTTTTTTTAAGGTGTTTTGTTCTGTATTGCAATAGATAGTATGCTAAGCAAACAGAATCTTCTTTGTTCTTTAAATTTATGTAAAGTAGTATTTTAACTGAGAGGGAAACATTAGTAGCACTTTTCTGGTGGTGGTAGCAGAGCAGTTGTGTACCTGGCACGGAGAAGTTCCTGACCCTCCACAGGAAGATAAGATGGTGTACACCCGGAGGGACTGGCAGGGAACATTTATCATGGATAGTACCTTGAAATATATTAAATCTTACATTGTAACACTCAGATATAAATGTGAGAGTTTAAGGAAGCCTTTTCAAAACAAAATTATAGCATTTTCCCCCCTTCTATAAGTGGCTTTAAAATGAAAATCTAATCAAAGGTAATAGTCTGTCCCTGTTTTAAGCAGTGGAAAGCTTGCTGTCATTTTAAAAGCCTGCAAGTTGGGGTTTGGGTTCATTTTGACAGCAATAAAAGCTAATTAATGTGGGGATTTCTTGTTAGAAGTACATTCATACATAGTGATGAGATGTATTCAGAAGAGGGCAAGAGGTGGAGAATTTATAAGCTTTTATATAAATATAAACTTATTTTTTATTACTGTTTTCATCCTCTCTCTTAGAATTAGAAATCAGAAGACGGGAGGATGAGTACAGATTTACAAGTAAGTGAACTCTCTCCTCATGTCCTCTTCTGTAACATCTACTCTTCTGATGTTAATGTAGAATAGTCTTTAGTGACCACTAGTTTGAAATGCTGGGTAGAATCCTGTCTGCTTTTCTTATGCAAGTAAATTTAATGGATGGCATTGACCATATTTTTAACTAAAGTTACTAGGATCTGACTCGTTATATAGTTCATCTAGGTGGAAAGCAAGTAAAATCTAAAGATGCCTTTTATGGTTTTTAAAATAATTATTGTCCTTAGAGTTGTCCTCAATAGGACAAGTGGAAATTGAGATTTATTTTTAATTTAGAACTGAGCACTGCTTATATTAATAATGCCACACAAGACATGATGGGAGGTACCTAATAAGGGAAGTTAGGCAGCTGTGTTCTGCAGGGTAGTTGTGCTCTTTAATGGCATTCTGAGGTTCAAGGTGACAGTGCCTCTTTTGTTTTTTCTTCTTAATCTGAGTGAGGTCAGATTGTTTTCAGTTCACCAGAACTCTCACTAGCTATCAAACTTCTTAGTCTAGTGTAGATCAATTTGTAATCCCAGTTATAGCTCTTCAAACTGTTTTCTTCATCTTGAGTATTCTACCTTCAAACCAAATAAAATTCTAGTGCTCTGAAAAAAGAAAATCCAGCTCAATCTCTATATCCATGTGTAGAGACAAGACCTGTAACAACTCATCTAAGACAGGCTTTTCGGTCTTGAGAGTAGACCTGTGCATTGCTTTTGGAATTGTTATGGCATACAAGTTCTTGTACTTTTTCATCATGGGGATGAACGGCTTGGGTTTGTTTCTTCTTATGTGTTAAAAACAAAAATGAGTCAGTTTATAAGGACTGAAAATTTCTCCTGGTTTTGATGTAGAGGAATATTTTTAGATAATCCACTCTGCCAGGGGAAATTTTTTCATATATGCAAATATATGCTTGTGCAAAAATGATTGGAACTTGTTTTTGTAAAAGTTGTGCCATATTTCTGTTGCAGTCCTATCTGTAAACTTCTGTCCAGATAGAATTGTGGGTTTGCAAAGCAAAACAGAAGAATCAAGGTTTTATTGTGTATTTAAGGTAATGGCAGACCTTGTCAGTGCTCAAACAGTGCTGTTATTGTTCTCTTCAGAACTGCTGCAAATCGCTGGAATCAGTCCACATGGTAATGCTTTAGGAGCATCGATGCAGCAACAAATGAACCAGCAGATACCTCAGGAGAAACGGGGAGGAGAAGTACTAGATTCACCTAATGATGACATAAAACTTGAAAAAAGTAATATTTTGCTGCTTGGACCAACTGGATCAGGTATACAGCTGCATGTTTTTCTAGGTGTCAGATTTTTCTTAGAGTTTATTGTTAGTGGATGTTTTTCCTCTCTTGTGGTTATTCCAGTTTGGTGTATAAAAGCCTAAACTGTGAATTCTAAACTGGGATTTTTGTGTTTTCATGCTGTGGTAACAAGCTGAGCTAAGTGGCCTTGAAAAGGAAGGAGGTCTTGTGTAGGTTTTTTTTCTTTAAAAAGCCAGTATTATTTACCAACTGATTAAACTGTGCAAGTTTCAGTAAGCTGAAATAGGACACATTTAAAGTTTTTCTGCTTTAGGTGGCAATCTGAGATGCTGTGGTTAGTGTTGTTTCACCTCTGGGAGAGATCAGTTACAGGAGGGGTTAAAAGAGAAATTATATTTGTGTATTCATAAGGAGTGGGAGTGTTTGTGCTGAAGTGATAGCATTTTGCAGATTTATTTGGGAGAACATTCACTAAATAATATTTTAATTTTGTTTCTCCCCACCTTCAAAGCAGGAGCAGTTGGACTTTGCACTGCACCCTGAGTGTCTGCAAAGGACTACTGATTTATTTAATCTCTAATCTATGCAAGTACATGGATTTTGGTTTTTATATTGTGTGACATTTGTGATGCCGTGTGCATTTCAAGCTGCCTCAAATGGACACTATTAGTCTAATTCAGAAATACGGCTTGACAAGGTAAAAAACACTGTTTATGAAAACTGGTTTCCTTGGAAAATATTCTTATATGAGTAAATGAACATGCTGGCATCATTCAAAATGTCTAATGATGGTGACGATAAATATTTGGGTTTGGGTACTCTAAAGAAATGTATGGAAGTTATCACATACAGTTTTTATTTTATCAGGTAAAACCTTGCTGGCTCAGACTCTCGCTAAATGCCTAGATGTACCTTTTGCTATCTGTGATTGTACCACCTTGACTCAAGCTGGCTATGTTGGGGAAGACATCGAATCTGTCATTGCGAAACTCCTGCAAGATGCCAACTACAATGTAGAAAAAGCTCAGCAAGGTAAACTTCGGCAACGTGTTTCCTGAAGTTCATTCATAGACTGTATTAATCTTGCCTAAATGCTCTAAACTTTGAGACCACCAGTATTTCTGTGATTTATATTTCTTTTGCATGTACCTGAATTTTAATGCTTTAAATCAGAAATAATAAACCTGAAAAGAGCTCTAAGAATATCTTGTAGTTTTTGTTCTTGTCCATAGGTGGAGAAGGTTGCATATATTTTTGCAATCTACAGTATGGAATTAGAACAGACTGCTGCTGTCTTAAATTATGTTCTCCCCTGTGTGTAAGTTCTTCTTTCTCTTAAAAAGTGCAGTCTTCCTTAAATCCATTCTCTGTAACTGCAGGGATTGTTTTTTTGGATGAAGTAGATAAGATTGGCAGCGTTCCTGGTATTCACCAGTTACGGGATGTCGGAGGAGAAGGTGTTCAACAAGTAAGTACTTCTGTGGAGTGATTTTACTCCGTAAGTGAACAGCCCAGCAAGTCCACATATCATCCTATCATCTGTCAAATAGCACAGGCGTGTGTAAAGTCATAGTTCTTCAGTTCCTCAATTATTAACCTTTGAAACCCTCTCACCAATTAAAAAAAAAAACCAAACTCAAAAGTAACTTGAGACTGCTTCACAGAAATGTTTTAATTGGCAAAGTCTTTGCAGCATTCAGATAGCCAGTTGCATAATGTAGGCAAGAACAGATAACATTTTCCATTTTGACAAAACTCTTAAAGGAACACATTATAGGTGCAGCTTGTAATGTACATGGGAGTCACATTAAAGAAAGTTGGGTTTTTTTTTTTCTGTCCTTGAATGGGATTGTTTGTATCATGTGAAAAACTGATTTCTTTAGACACTGTTACTATAAAGCCGTAAGAGATTTAAAAATATAAATAAATCTGTGAAAGTAAGCACAGTGTGATGAACCTTGTTGTATGACGCTGCACAGTGGATTTTTTTTATTGTTTTTCTTCTTTTCTCCTTAGGGCTTGTTAAAATTACTGGAAGGCACAATAGTAAATGTTCCAGAAAAGAATTCTCGTAAACTACGTGGAGAAACGGTGCAGGTTGACACAACGAATATCCTCTTTGTAGCTTCTGGTGCTTTTAATGGTCTTGACAGAATTATCAGCAGGAGGAAAAATGAAAAAGTGAGTGCATCAGGCTGGATCTGAACTGCAAAATTATCATCTTAATTACTGCTCACAGTACTGACTCCTAAAGGTCTCGCTATATTTGTAAACCCACTAAGGTTGTTTGTAGAGCGGTGGTTTTCCATCTGGTATCTGGGAATGTGAGGTCAAGCCTAAGAAAGGTGGCGAAGAGCGAGTCCATTGTTAGTAGGCTTAAGTAGCTTGCAGTGGTCTCTGCTTCCACAGAGAAATTTTTAGCATACACAAATAGGGATGAAATGGAGGGCGGGAAGGGTTGAAAAGTGTTGGTAGAGCACTTTCAGGCTGTACTTTAGTGGTACACTTTACGTTGTTGTCAATGAGTCTTACGTTTTTTAAAAACAGAATATGTGAAACAATTTTATCAGCTGTAATAGGATTTTTTTCAGCTGCCGTGTACCAAGCATGAAACTGGAAAAAAGCTTTTTTTCCTACTGATATCCAGAGGTTTACTGTTGATACTCAGATAGTTTGAGCAAATGGTGCTAAAAGCTGTCGTCATCTTAAAAGACCTAGTCACGCAATTTGTTATTTTGAATATTAGTGTTTGGGCATCTTCTGGCTGCAGCTTTCTGACAAAGTGTGCACCCTGTTTCTATTAGGGGAGTGACTGAAATAGAAATTGCTGTTTATGATAATTCATGTAGCTTTTCATTAAAACATTCTTGTATGTCTTTGCTTCACTTCTGAAGAGCCCTTTTTAGTGTCATTGGTATTTGTAAACTTACCAGGACATGTCACTAACTTGTTTTTAATTTTAAAAATTGCTCTTAGTCTGTGTTGATACCTTACCCAGGGAATTAAATGTTTCAAGAAAACATGTGCAAAGCATCCTATTTTACTATAAGTAATTTTGTGAGATTGAATTAATATGTAATGACATAATCAGTCACTCTAGATTTTTTTTTATGCGTATGGAACATGATTTACTTACATAAAGAAGATTTAACTATTATAGTTCTGTAAGCATGACACGTTTGTTTTGCAGTATCTAGGATTTGGGACGCCAGCTAATATGGGAAAAGGCCGAAGGGCTGCAGCAGCAGCTGATCTCGCTAATATAAGCGGAGAGTCAAATCCACATGAAGATATGGAAGAAAAGGATCGCTTGCTGCGTCACGTGGAAGCCAGAGATCTCATTGAGTTTGGCATGATTCCTGAGTTTGTGGGACGTTTGCCCGTTGTGGTTCCTCTGCACAGCCTAGATGAGAAAACTCTTGTACGGATTCTAACTGAGCCACGAAATGCTGTGGTTCCTCAATACCAGGCACTTTTCAGCATGGATAAGGTTCGGATTTTTATTTGACAACTCTTCAATATTCTTGTTTATAAATCCAGTGTTAAAGTGATCTAAAATACCCATTGAAATAACTTCTTCCCCCCTGGCGTGCACTTCCCCACTGAAAAAAAAGTAAACTAACTCGTTAAAACCTGACTGGTTTAGATCTGACTTAAATGCTAGATGTTCTGGTCTGTGACAAGTAAATTGCTACTTTTCGTTATTTCAGTAACACTTGTGGTATCACACTCAACACGCTATTGGTTATAAATGAAATAATTACCTAACCTTACCATTTTTCTCTATGTAGTGTGAATTAAATGTCACTGAAGATGCGTTGAAGGCTATAGCCAGACTGGCCCTGGACAGAAAAACTGGTGCAAGAGGTCTTCGATCTATAATGGTGAGTAAATCAAGGCTCATATTGAGTAAATGCAGCTACCTACTACGTTCATGTGGATGGACCTAATTGTGATAATTTTTCAGTCCAAACCTCAGTTCTGGGACTTTCATGGATACAGTAAGTCGTCTTCTAAAACTGTGGGTGTTCAGATTTCTTCCAAGAAAGTCCTCTAGCTCTGAAACTCACTTGCTAACTGTATTGTTATGCAGAAATTTTCTTTTTCCCCTCTTTCTTGTAGGAAAAGCTGCTGCTGGAGCCCATGTTTGAAGTGCCCAATTCTGACATCGTATGTGTGGAAGTTGACAAAGATGTTGTAGAAGGCAAAAAAGAGCCAGGATACATTAGGTAAAGCCATACTGGAAGTGTCAGAACAGACGAGTAATGCAGCCAGACAGGTATTCTGCTGTTTGCTGTAGGAACAGCTGTATGAACACAAAACCATGCACACAGCCTAGAAAGGATCCAGGGATCTGTGTGCTGTACGCAGCAGAATTAGTGCCTTTTCTGTGCTAGAGACTCTGGGTTTGTATTGCTTTAGTTTTTATAGAAATTTTAAAATAAACTTACCTATGGAGTTACTTTAAGCCTTTTGTGTGTGTGTACCTGTAGAAGTAAATTATAAGTTAACAGTAAAAATCTGAAGTTTAATTGTGATTGTACTGAAGTTCCTGAAACAGAACTTTTTCCTTCCTCCTACTTTGTATCACTGAAGTGGTTTCTTTTTTTTTTTTCACACAAGCTCCAGGCTGCTGCAGTTTTCTTCTCCGTTGCTCTTGAAGCAGTGGAGAGCCACAGGGGCACATCTGTTGATTTACCAAACTCTTATTAAAATAATCAATTTAATGTTGCAAGGATTGTGTTATGGTAAACGTGGTGGAACACTGAAAGCACTGGACAAATGGGATTTAAAAATAATTTTAGTGAACAAAGGATGGATTTGAGAGTGGATGGGTCGGGTTAAAAACACAGGTCTCGGAAATTTAGGAACTGTGGCTTGATTTCTACCTCTGACAACTTTTTTGGGTGACTTTCTTCACTGAGGTACATGCTTTGTATTCATCTGTGTCTGTGCCTAAGCATGGCTCAGCACACCCGATGTCTGTGGTTGGAGTGGAAGGTGTTATGCCGACACTGACAGTTGCTTTAAGTGATTTTGTAGAGGGCCAGCAGTCGTGCTTGCTGGAAATATTAAATTTACTGATTAAATCAAACGACTTAACTGAATTCAACAGACTTGTGATTTTCAGTAATGAGACTGCACCCTGGTAGTTGTGTAAATCTGCCCAGCACCATGTTCAGGTCAGAAGGTCGTTTAGCAGATGGATGCTTGTCAGAACATTTGTCATTAGGGCGCCTTGCAGATGGTGTGTTTACATGAAGCTGTGGAAACTGTCTCCGTTCTTTTCCTCCATTTCTAAAGTATCTGATCCGTTCGTTTTAATTATAGGGCTCCCACTAAAGATTCATCTGAAGAAGAATACGACTCTGGTGTTGAGGAGGAAGGCTGGCCTCGACAAGCAGATGCTGCAAACCATTAAATACTGTCAGAATGCTCGCCCGCATAAAGCGCACTTGGTTATTTCCTTACGATTGCCTCTGGCTTCAGCCTGATACTAAAGGCATTGGATCTATCTCGGAAATGATACGCGATGAGGAACTTTGTTAGAGAAATCAGATTGTGTATTTTATTGCAACATCACATTGATTTATTTGATGGACATTGTGTGGACTTGGATGGCATAATGTTCAAAGATGAATTGTATATTACACTTGTTCAATTAAAATGTATAGCAAATATAGCAGCACCTGGATTGCGCTTTCTAGAAACTAAACCAGCAGTGCAGGTGCTGCCAATAGTTAGATTTTACAATGTTACTCTACAAATGGGAAATCAAGATTAATAATTAGTTGAGTGTGAATAAACGGTGAGCTCCTCGTACAACTCACAGGGGGTTCCGTTCAAGTCAGTGTTAGATTTCTGCTGGTCTTTGAAACCTGACGGGTGCTGGAGTGACCTGTTACAGTGGTGGGGGAAGAAGCCCTTGCGACAAGATTTTGGAAAAAACTGGGACACACTTTATGACACTGCTGGGAGATTTTGCTAAAATGTGACACTGGTTTGTTGCAGAAATTTAAATGCAATATCAAAATAATATCCTTTTCCTTCACCTTTCCACTAGGAGTAAGTTTCAGTCACCTTGAATACTCTGAACGAAGGTGAAGTCAGCAATTTGCTAATTTTCCAGAAGGGTAGACGGGATTTCTAGGACGCGGTAAGCCATCTGAATTTGGATGAGAAGTCGACATAAATTTTTAAATATTAATGTTCTAATATAGTACATTTTGTTTAACGTATTGGAACTATCATGCATCAATTTTTTGGTGCCAGGTATTTGCCCAACCTATCTTATAATGTTAGGAGATGAAAGAAGTAAATGTATAATATTTTTGATGTAATGGGTAGTGATTGTTCACACGACACAGTGCTTTTTAAGTTATACGCTCGAACGCTAGCATTGCATCTTGTGGGTTTTGTCTTTGATTTTTAGTCTTGCAGCAAAGCAACCCTCCCTCTTCTGTTCCACACCAAAATTAATTCAATCCTTTAGGAAAGTCTTTGTAAAACAAACACTAAAGGACCTGTATGTTTTTTGATTTGTTTCAGGAATTAAAATTGTTGCTTACAACTTTGCTTTGTCCTTCGGTGATACGTGGACTTAAGTTTTACTGATCCCTTTTTCTAAAATTGTCATTCAAGCTCTTTAAATAAAACTTTCATCATTCTTTTCAGGCTAGGGGATATTTTAGGACAGGAAGGGATACTGCAGATGGATTGACCCTATATTTGTTGTTAATTTTCGTTGTTAATTTTTGTCGTGTCACTTTTATGTAATATTTGTGTTCTTACCTAGAAGCAGTGTGACATGCAGTTGTAGCCAGGTGCAGCAGATACTTCCCTTGGGATTTCAGGATTTTTCAGGTTAAATGACCGACTAATGGTTCGGAAGAAGCTGCATTTGGATTTTTAGGATATTTCTAGAAGCTTAGTCCCCTCAAAATGGGAATCTGGTGAACTATCTGTAACTGCATCCTCACTTTCCTTTTTGTAGAGTGAAAAAAAAATATAACCGCTTTTAATTCTGAATCCTTTCATTTAAATCCTTTTTTAAACGGATTGAAAAAAACCCCACATCTTAGGCAAAAACTGTTCAACAACTTAGTTTTGAAAGTTGTTTGGAATTATGTAACTGAGAACTGTTTTTAAGGAAACAAAATGCCGTGTAACTACAGTTTGTACCTCACCTCTGGCGTTTGAATAAAACAAAGCGAATCTATTCAAGCAGCGGAGAGTTGTCATCCCTCGTGTCAGCGCCAGAAATTTTAAATTTCGTGGGTATTTGGAGCTTTTGAGGCTTTTTTAAGTGAAGGTCCCCCTCTTCTGCCCCTCGCTGGAGGCAGCTGCGGTGC